ACATCCATTGTTTCCTCTTGCTAGAAAATGGAGCAAGGGAAGGCTTCTGAGGCTGAGTTCAGGTGGGTTAAAGCTGTGAAAACAGCTTGCTTTGTGGTGGTTTATCAGGCATCAGCTGCTATTGATCCACATAACAGTGAGATCCTGAGAAACACCTCTTTGGGGAAAGCAAGTTCAGAGGGAAGCAAACAGCAAACGGGGCGCTGGATATCTTGGTGTCAGACTGGTTTTTTTGCAGTGATTTTGTTGCTCTCTGAGCTGCTGGCTATGTAAAATGACTGCAGCACAGAGGTGATAAACAGATCTTTACTTTGAAAGGCTTCTGTGAAAATCACCATCTGAGCACAGAGATGTTTCCCTCCCTAAGGGATAAGAGGTTAAAGTGCTGGGATGGAGCTCAGAGGATCTGATTTCATCATCTGCTGCTGTTTCTTACTGAGTACCAGTGTAAATCCTGTAACTGTTGTTGCCTTTCCCTAAATCAGAGCTATTTCCTCTCTCAGCATCTGGGATGCCCAAATAGTGAGTCTTGGATGCTGGGGGGCCATTCCCAGAATGGGAAAAAAACCCAGTGACCAGGGGGAGGAATAACCAGGGGGGAAGGAGGGATTTCCATCCTGTAAGAGAAAAGGGACTTGCTTGGGTTTGAGATGCAAAGAGGAATAAAACTGTAAAACATAATTTAATGTTGCAGTGAAGATTAATGGCCTCATCCACAGTCACCTGAAAAGATCAGTCCTCTGGAAATTGCAAATAATGATGGCAAACATTAAAATTTCAGTGAAGTAGGGTAGCATCGTGTGCTATCTTTTTCTTATTAGAGTTTGAGGGATTTTGCTCTAAATGAATTTTTGGTGAAAGCAGGATCAACTGTAATTATTTGTAAGTAGTGAGGGTCAGGCACAGCACCACACATATTATTCTTCAAAATGCTGCTGGCACTAATCCTGGTTATCCTTCTTACTGTGCACCTTGTAGATGGGTAGAAGAGAAATGGAGAGATTTTCTTTGTATTTGTGCTTGCAATAGGCATGAATTAGACTTGTTCTGCTGTCCTGTTGTTTTAGAAAGAGGAATCCATTGACTCCAGCTTTGTTAGGTCGGTGGCTCTGAGGATCAGCTCTTTCTTGCAGGAAATAATTTTATTTTATAATGTGCCTGCTCCTATGGATCAGCTTCTTGCAGTCTTGGAAATGGGCAGGGAGGTCCCCAGCCAGCAGCAAGGTGGGGTTTCAAGGTACAGAGGAAAACAGGTACTGACCCCGCATCTCTGGCACAACAAGCGTGGTGGGATCAGTCACCTTTGATATGGTCTGGACCCTCACCATCACCCTGCCCGTGTGCACCTTGAGATCTTACCTCAAACCTACTTTTCCTGAGAAGGTTGATCATGGAAAGGGAATAGGGACCTTGATGGAGATGGGACATGGTCTGTGACATCCTGCTGACCAAACTCCCCCCAGAGGGTCTGGGTTTTATGGAGCATCCCAGTGCAAGCTGAAGTCAGCAGGATTCTTTTTCCCAGCGTGTGTTTGTTCCCAGGACCCTCTTTGCTCCTTGGGAAGGATTATTCTCTTTTTCTTTCTGTTCCAATGCTCAGCAGTGCAGAAAAGCATCTGCAGAGATTTCTGCCATCTCTAAAAGGAGCCTGATGGAGCCAAAGAGAGAAGCCACAATGAATATGTATTATTGCAAATATTGAAGAAGCCAATGTCCCCTTCCTAAGAGATGTTATTTCTCATTTTTTTGAATGAGCCTGTTGGTGATAGAGGCCAGATAATCCACTTGTGGGATCTTTTTGCCTTGTGCTATGTGATTTATAACATCATGCAAGGAACAGAACTTGTCAGTGCTGTCTCTGAGAAGTACCATTGAGTCCCCTTGTAGGGGTGGCTCTGGGAAAGTGGCTTTTGGGGATCCAGAGACAGCATTTTTATTTTCTTATGACTTTTCATTTCTTCCTGCCAGATTCTCTGATGTTCTAGCAGATGACCATAGATGTGTAAAGATCATCTAGTTCCAATCCCCTCTGCCATGGACTGGGGCAGGTGGTTGCTGAATTTCTGTGGTCATTAATGTCCTAAGAAAAAATTCCGCCCACCACCAGTGGCTATGGTACAAATTTAGCTAATTAGCATTTGGCAAGTAATTAGCCAGGTGCCCACCACCCCAGGAGTGACAGTTGCATTTTCTAAGCTTTGCTTTCCAGCCTTTCAAGCATGTTCCACTTCCCCTCCCAGCCTTTCTCCCTCTCCTCTCCAGCCCAGACACTTTTTTCCTGCAAGAGAAATGATTTCATACCTTGCAAGATTAATTCCCTGCTCGTGAGGGCCTTGATTAAAGAGATTGCCAAACCGTGCTAAAGGTGACAAAACAGTTCTGACACGCAGACGTCTTCTCCTCCTGAAAGGAAAAGGCAAAAAACCCCCAAACCCTGTGTGGGCTGTTGCTATTATGAGATGTGCAGGTGGCTGTGGGCTGCTTTCTGCAGGATCAGCAAAAATACTCCACATTTAGGAGCAGTGTCTGTAAAGTTAAACTGGTTGAAACAGCAGAAGATGTAACTGTTGGCACTTGAACTAGATTATCCCGAAGAAACTGAGGAGTTTTCATCCACAACTGAGGAGACTGTACTGATGCTCCAGGAGTTTGGAGGTACAAATGGTATGGATATGTGTGGCTGCCCCATCCATGGAAGTGTTCAAGGCCAGGTTGGATGGGGCTTGGAGCAACCTAGTCTAATGGAAGTAGAAGGTGTCCCCGCTAATGACAGGGGTTTGCAACAAGATGAGCTTTAAGGTCCCTTCCAACCCAAACCATTCCACGATTCTATGTGGGGAAAGCCCAGACTCTTTCCTCTGCCAACATATATCCATTAACTGAGCAGAGAACAAGCCTGCTTGGGACCCAGCTGTGGCTCTTTATAATATAAGCCTCTGAAAACCTGCAAATATACTCCAAATATGCACAAAGCTCATTTTCAGACACTTTTTAGCTTGTTAATGGGCACTGTAATTATTTACCAAAGGCATCAAAACCCTTTTATATACTCCTGGTTTGAATCTTATTTTGCAGATATTCAGTGGAAAGTGGGCTGGAGAAAAAAAAAAAGAAAAAGAATTTGTACTGTGAATGTGTTTTTTCACTTGCATGTTGATGCTCTGGACTCTTGTAAACCCAGCCTCTGTTCATGGTGTGACCCACTGCTTCCATGTGTGCTTTCTGGGCAACCACTGCCTGGAAGAAGGGTGGCCTTTTATGGCTTGTTCTTTTTTTTTTTTTTAATTTATTTTATTTGGCTTCTGGTAGCATCCTGTCTGCCGAGAAACCTTCAGGCTGAAGAGTGGATTTTCAAAAAATAGGCTGGGAGAAATCCTTTTGGGTCATGCAAATAAAATTTTGGTGGCCTTCCTTCCCAGCCTTGGTGCATAGACCCTAAAGGACAGGGCGAAGACTTCTGATGAGGAAGAAATCTGGCAAGTCCTGCTCTTGAGATGACTGTTTTCTGCTCATCCCAGAGATTCAGAGAAGAGTGGTTGTTAAGATACCATGAGATGTTCTGGAAGGACAGATCTCTCCGCTGCTGACTTGGACTGAAGGTGCAGCAGGAATATCCTGCTTTTTTTCCCCCATGCAAAAAGGGCAGGGATGAACACTGAGAAGATACTGGATGGATGAGAAGAATTTTTGGAAGGGGGTTTGTCCCATACACAAGGCACATCTTGGCTGTCAGTAGTTCAAGGTGACAGTCCTGATCCCTTTTACAGCAGCCATTCTGAAAGCACATCTGTCAGGTGAAAATGAGCACCACAACAAGACAAATAGGTGAACCTGACGCATTTGCTGCATTGAATTAACATAAAAGGGAGTGTGAGAAGGGTTGAGAGCATTTATGGGGTGGGAGCCAGCAGAGAGGAGCAGAGCTGAATTTGCAAACACTCTTCCCGTCAGCTCCTGGGCTGTCCAGCTGGGAGCTCTTGCACTGATTTACTGCTGTCCTTCCTTCAGCCTTTGAAAATCAATCCATTAACAATTAAGGTAATGTCTAGTCTAGTGTTTATTTCACACTCTCATTAGCGGGCTGACAAACCCCTCACTTTTTCAAGCAGTAGGATTGCTCTGTTCCACAGGGGGGCTGTATCTCTGGGTCGTACTTTTTCCCTTGTTCCCCATTAGAGCTGTGATCTGCTCTTGTGGAAGCATTCAGGAAAATTACCATGCAACACCACACCTTGGCATTGTGTTCCTTGCGAAGAAGATGGAGCTTTTGTGCTAAATATCCCCAAACATTCACTGAAACAGAACTGGGGCAGAAAGGGATAGCCCCGACTGCCTGCTGGGCCCCAGGAGCTCTGTGTTGGGCTGGCTGTAGGCTTGGGAAGACAAAAAGCATTTGCTACAAGAGCTCATGTTCCTATTCCCCATCTCCTGGGCAGTAACAGTGTGCCCCAGGTTGAATCTGATCTATGTGTCTCTGCTTATGTCCCCAACACTGAGAGATTTCCCCAGATTGCTGTGAAATGGCTTCTTTGGGGAAATGCTGGAGATGGCCACAGGCACCAGACCAGGAGGCTCTAGTTCTTGGTAGTCAATCCAATTTGGTGGACCCCAAATGCCCTCTGTGCAACCTGTTTGAGGGGTGGCACACCTGGGGGGACTCTGCAGCTCTTGGGCACCGAGTTCATGAGGGTCAATATCTCACAGCCAGACTGGGAACTGCAGGTACCTGTGGGGTCTCTGTGGCTCACCCCACCTTGAGGTAATGAATTTACCACTGCAGCCTCTTGGAATATGTGTGTTACTCTAACTCTGATGTGAAGTGCAGGATGGTCTGGGTTGCAAAAAAATGACTTTTAGTTAATGCTGCTAGAAGATCACTAAATAATAGCAATTTTCTCCCCCTAATTCTCATTCCTCCTTGTATTTTTTTTGCCGATTTCTAGGTCAGATTCCCCATTCCGCTGCTCCTGCGCTAGCACAGCTATCAGGTTGCACAATTGCAGAGGAGGGAGGAATCTGCTGCCCGAATCCCTGTCTCCTCAGCACCCTTCCACGATTCTTCCCGGCGTCTCCGGCTAGGAGCCCATCCCAGGTAGGCTGGGGGTCGAGGGCTGCGGCAGAGGAAGGGTTTGGGGAGCTTGTGGTGTGCTGGCCCCCCCTCCCCATGTCGGGGGTGGGACGGGGAGGCCACCGCAGCTCCCGGCGCCTGCGGGGCGGGGGGAGGACGCTGCCCGTGTCTGGCAGGTGTGGGCTCGCCTTCCCTTTGCTGCGTTTGGTAATTTATTATTTCTTTCCCCCTCCCCGCGCTTCTTTTCCACCTTCCCCCCTCCCGCTTTTCTCTTACGCAGTGGGAGCAGCCCGGCTCTGCCCAGCCGCCCTCCGTCCTCCCTCCCTCCTTCTCTCTCATCCCTCCCTTTTCCTTAAAAACGTGGGATCCGGGGTGCAGCCCCTTGCTCTGGCAGCATCCCTGCCCGCGAGAGCAGCCCCTTCCCCTCCTCCACCTGCGGAGCCCCCGGCTTTGTCCCGTGTCCCCCCTCATCCCCCGGCCCGGGGGTGCTGGATGCGGCCGCGGGGAGCGGAGCCTGGTCCGGAGCTGCGCTAGAGGGGACCCGCCGCAGGTACGGAGCCAACTGGGGTTTATTTCCAACTTTGGGCTTTTTCTGCCGTTTTATTAGGATATGGACCGGGACTGGGGGCTGGGGAGGTTGTGCCTCAGCCCCAGTGGGGGGCTGCGGTGGCTCTCAGGGGACACGGGGGGCAGTGGAAGGTCTGGGGGCACAAAGCCGCGTGTGGGGGGACTCACCGGCCCGCAGGGTTGGGAGAGGCAGGTGGGAGCATCCAGCCCTTGGAAAGGATGGCGTGTGCAGCCCGCGCGTCCCCTGCGCCGGCGGTGTGGAGATATGCGTGATCTCGGTGTGCCCGGGATGCGCCGGGCTCTCAGGGTTGCAAGACCATCAAAATGCTCCTGGGAAGGTTCGGGGGGATGGGGGGGGTGGGCTGCGTTTCCCAGCAATAAATCATCCTTCTCCCTGGTAATAAATCATCCTTCCCCAGCGCTTCTCGTGCACATGCTTTGCCACAGTCCCCTGCTACCCGTTTGATCAGCAGATCTTAAAACTGTCTCTTGGTGCCCCAGGTCCTTGGCGCAGGCTGGTGCTTCAGGATGGACCCGCTCTTCCCCGCCCATATTTTTGAAGACCCTGACCTGAGAAAGCTGCTGAATGACTCCTCCATGCTCAACCTGAGCTTTCTCCCCAGCAACTGGTTTAACAACAGCACGGGGGACAGCTTCCTGCCTCTCAGCATCAAGATCACCATCGTGGTTGTCTATTCCATCGTGTGCATTGTGGGGCTGGTGGGCAACTGCTCCGTCATGTATGTGATCGTCAGGTAGGACACGCAGGGAGGCTCCGGGCAAGGCTGGGAGCTGGGCAGACCTTCCCTGCCTCAGGTGAAGCCAGCAGGTGCTTCCCTGGTGTTCGTGATGTGCTTTAGTGGTAATGATGTAGCGTTTGTTTTATTGTTTTGGTTTTATTTGTTTTTTTTAACCCTTCCTAGGCTGCGATGAAGGTTTCCGCCAGTTTTCAGCTGCCCTCTGGTGCCTCCTAAAGTTTAACCCAGAGAATGGAATGGAGAGAGCAGAGGGGCTCAAAAAAAAAAAAATGTTTTGGGGGTGTTTTTTGGTTGGTTGGGGTTTTTTTGTAGGGAGCTGGATGTCCCTAAAGAGGACAATGAGCTGGGAGCATTCTGCTGCCAGAGTGTGCTGGCTCCTTAATGGGACCTCTCCTTCCTGTGCTGTGTCCGGCACCCCAGCTGTGTTTGCAGGTGCTGCTCCATCTGGGAGCTGGCTCTTTCCAAAGAGCGTGTGGGGAGGCTCTTAGTTGGGGAAGAATCAGGAATGTAACTCTTCCAACCCTTTGGAAGCTGCAGGTGTGACAGGATGTTGCAGAACTGAGGGCAACTTCTCTGACTCCTCGTGCTGAAGTCAGGAGAGTGGGGGGACCTTTGCAGAGGGACAGAGCATGATGGATCATGAACCACTCCAGCCTCCCTGGCTGGCATTTTAAGTGTCCCTGTCTGGTTTTGCTGTGGTTCAAACACCCTTATTTCTGGGAATCAGAAACCTTGTTCCCCTTCTAAGTACAGAATAAGTTTATGCAGCTGTTAGGGCTGTGATTGTGGTAAATCCCAGCACTCCCCTTCTGATCTCTGCACCTTTCATGGTAAGGAGGGATCTTCCATTTTATCCATGTCTTGGAGCAGTTTCCTGCTGCAGGTGGATACTGCCAGCACAGAAAAGACAGGTTGAATCCTTCAACAGAAAATGCAAATATTTAGCAGGTATTCAGACACTGATGAGATTGTCTTGCCCCTGCCAGTAGCCCAACTGCTTCCAAAGCATCTTTCCCCTGAATAAACACAACTTGTTTGCAGGAGATGCTGCAAAATTAAGTCTCTGATATCAGAGGTCGGTGAAGGGTATCTAAATGTCTGCTACAAGGGCAGAGTGAGGTGACTGTTCATCAGGCTGCCTATCTGTGCTCTCTTTGCAGAGGAGCTTATGGCAGAGAGAAGGGATCCCATTAGCCCTGGGGAGCCTGCAGATGCAGAGACCAGGTTTGCAGTAACCTCATGCCATGTCTGAAGAGCTCGTGTTCCTGTTCAGTGTAGTGGCAGTCATCTGAGGAGTTTGTGGGTGTGTCTAAGTGTGGTGAGTAGTGAGGCTCTGGGAGTTAGAAGTCCTTGTCTGACAGTGATGCAGCTCCATGGGAATGCCAACCAGTGTGCGTGCAGAGGAAGGGAGTCCTTACCCCATGCATGAACCTTAGATGTGTGTGAGGAGAAGAAGTCTTGGCAATAATCTCCCCGTCTGCAAAGGTCTTGTGGGTTGTGAGCAGCTGGATCCTGCTGGCCCCTGCCCAGGGCTGTGACTGGGTATCATAAATAGCATCAGTGTCCCAAGCCAGCATCCTGGTCAGGGTGGACCTGTGCCGTGGCCATGCATGCAGAATGGTGCCTTCTGTTCCACGTCTTTTTGACTTTGATACCTTCCAGTTGGGTAAATGGCACTCAGGAAAAGAAAGCGGGATTTAAGCACCCAAATTTCCCCTGGAACTTAACTTGTTTGTGTGTACTCTGATTTTACTGGGTTTAAGCAATTGAAAACTGAAGCCACCCCCAGGTGCCACCTGGTGCACTCAACAGGTGCCACTTCTCCCCCAGCCATTTTCCATTTCTTTATTTCCCTTTATCCAGAAACCCCTATATGTACAGAAAAGCACCAACAGACATTTTGATTATTTGGGTACTCCTTTTGCTGGGGCACGTGTAGAAGCTGCTGCTCCCACTGGTTTCCCCCGTCTGTGTCCCCTGGGAGCTCAGTACTGAGCTGAGACCAACACTAAGTTGTACCCAAGGAAATGAGTAACTACAGCTTCTGGTTATCTCTGCTCGGGATTCTTCTCTCCTTGTTCTGTATGTTGAGGTCAGGAGCAGGTGTGATGACAAACTGAGCTCAGTATCCCAGATTCTCACCCTTGCTGTGTATGTGGACTGATGCAGAGCTACCAAATTAGTGACCACACAAAGAAGATGCTGATGAACTTCTCAAACACAGGTTTTTCTCCCCAGATTGGGGCATTGATGCTTCATGCCTTGAGTAGCATCTGTTTTTGAGTAGGTTGAAAACTGGTTGCTGATAAGTCAACATGGGGATTTGGAACTTTTAATGATCTATCTCTTCCATTAATGGAAAAATGATTGGCAAACCCTCTGTGCTGCACCCCTGTCACCTGTAGATATGATGCATCCTATAAAAACTGGGTTTTTTTCTTTCCATGCTTCAACATACTACACAGCCCATCAGAAAATGGTGCATTATCTTCCAGAAAAAGAATGGTACAATGTCATAAACAGTAATTGTTTCCTGTTTTTGAGGGAGCTGGGAAATAAAAAGACTCTAATACCAGCACTCGAGGAAATTGGAGGCATCAGGCTCATTTTTTGTTCCTTTTGAACGAGTCTTCTGCAGCACTGAGGGAAAAGTTTTAAAATCTCCCAGTACTTCACACGAAAGTGAAAATTCAAAGCCTCCTCTAGGTTTTCCCCTGTGTTATAGAACCCAGCCTACACCTCTATTATATTTGGAGTGATTTAAAATTTGGAATGATTAATTTAGAGACAGTCATCGTGTGGCTGTCAGTCCCTTCCAGTGCTGAGCAGCACTAATTGGGTAAGATGGAGAAGGGCTCTCATCAGGAACACGATTTCCTGGACAGTAAAGGGCCTGCTGTGGGAACCTGCCTCATCTGTGGATTTGTTCTGCTGGCTCATCGTGGCGCTCCTTGCCAGCAGAGATGATGCCTCACCTCCCTTCTCCTTCTGCTGTTTGCTCTCTTCTGCATATATTTCCTGTTCTTCTCTCTAATGAATGTGAAACAAGGAGCTGAGCAGAGGGTTTGGGGGGAGAGCGAAGGAAACAAGGCTGCTGAGATCCCTCTTAGCTGTTGACTGAATTCTGCAAGGCTGCTTGCCCCTTGTTTTTAGGAAGGAAAGCAAAGGGGAAGGAGGATGTGATGTCCCCATCCACACTCTCCAGAGAGCACCCAGAGGAGGAGGGCAGTGCTTGTTTTTCATAGTTGTCACCTGGACACAGTGGTGAGACTCAAGGGCAAGGAAATCATCTGTCCCAAAGTGTGTGCTCACCCTGGCTGGCAGCAGACTCCTTAACTAACCCCTGCTAGTCAGTCCCTGTCCTGCTGGATAATTTATAGGCTTTTAGGTGCTGTGTTGGTGGCTGCTTTTGCCGTAGTGTCTGCCCTCAGAGTTCAAAGTAATTTAAATTTGTCCCTTCTCAAACTCTTTGGATTTTTCAAGGGCCTGTCAAACCATTAAGAATATATCATCTTGAACTGGTTAAAAGTTTCAGGCTCAGGGGACTCTGAAATGGTGATCAGAACAGCAGGGATGTGGAGAGCACAGCGTGGGTGTAGGGCTGTGGGGACACAAATCTGCTGTGTGCCAGATCAAATAGCAGCTTCACACGACCTGTAGGCTATGAGCAGGCTGGGAGCAGAAAGGTGAGAGAACCAGAGCTGTTTTCTACCATCACAGGGTGGGAGTAGCTCAGTAAAAATTCTCCCTGAGCCTTTTCTGCTCTGTTTTGCTCCCAGGTGCATGTTCAGGGACCGGGGCAAAGACTTTCACTGCTGCCAGGGTGAGAGGTGGGGATGGAGGGAGCTGCTCAAGGTGAACAGCACTGTCTGCATCCCAATTAGCTGGAGCTATGAATATGAAAATCGAGAGACTCCTGGAGGCAGAGAGCTCCTGGAGATAATGCTCAGGGTTCCCCATGGCTGCAGGCTTTGCTCTGGTGCCTCTGCCCCAGTGTCTGCTGCCCCATTTCGGGTGGCAGGATTGCTGCAGCCAGCTGGTCCTTAGCCTGGGGGCATCCAGAGTGGCTCACTGTCCTGCAGCCTGGCCATGGCTGGGTGAAAAAGAGGGAAGGTAGGTAAAACAGATCTGCAACTCCCCTTAGTCTCAGCCAGGGGCAGAATCCATCCTTGTGACAAACAGGGCCCTAAAGCCCAGAGAGTTGTGTCCCACCCATTCTCACTCCCAGATCACATCTTCCCCTTGCTGAAGTCCAGCTTTGTTCCAGGTAATGTTGCTTGAGGTCCACTTATCAAAAAAGGAGAGGAAAGACAAGTGCTGATGTGTTATCAAGCCATTTTTTCTCTTCAGCATCCGAGAGAACAGGATTGCAAAGCAGTTACTGTTGTGACAGAGGTAGAGCTGGATGAAGAGCTGAGAACCACCCTGTGGGAGATGCTCCATTAGGAAATTACCTCCATGGCAGAGTGCAAGAAAGTGGCTCAGCAGGGAACTAATGTCCTCCATGGAGGCCACAGGCTTATCTGCAGCAGAGCTGTGCCATGGGGGGAGGAAACTGAGGTGCCTCCTAAAGCCCGAGAGTTTAATTTGTTTTATTTTTTTGTGCAGATTAAGAAAAAGAACACTCTCAGTTCCTGGAGGAAAAGAAAAAGAGGTTAATCCGCAGAGAAGCGATTAATTGATTTTTTTTGTGTACTGAACATTCTGGAAGTGTTTGGGAACATTGTTTGGTTGGGGTAATGGCTGTTGGCTCTCAGCGTGCAGAGAAAGTGGAGTAGAAGTAATTAATTAGGTGTAAATTAATTTCCCCACCTTTCAAGAGCACAAAATCAGCTTTAAAATCCACTAGAAGGTGGGGTGAAGGAGGTAAGTGGTGGGCCAGTCACCTCAGCATGTCCCCGTGCTGGAGGGAGTGAGGGAAGGTGGCTCTGCCATCACCTTGAGGAGGTGGTGAGGAAGGAAGCAGCAGAGAGGAATCTGTGCATTGAGGGAGAGCAGATTTTGCAGGGCCAAGCTGAGCAATTGCAGATGGATTTTGAGTTCTTGCTGAGCAGTATCTGGGAAGAGAGGGGCTGGTGGGGGTGGAGGGGTGCGGGAGGGAGCTGAAGGTTTGTGATCTGCACACCCTGAGCTCAAGGTTGGCTGAGATGCCCCAAACTTCTCACAGTGCTGAGGAAATGGGAGTGTGCAGGGAGGCAGCTTTGTCCCCCATGGATGTTGGAAGGGGGCTGGAAATAAGTGAATTCTCCTTGTTTCTCCCACTGGTCAATTAGAAAACCAAACCCAAACAACCTTTATTTTTTTCTGTTTTGCTGTCCAGTTGCTCATCAATGCTCAAAATCGTTATTCCCTTGAGTTATAACGTCAGTAAGAGCAGTCAGTGTTAGAGGCATGTTGATGAATTGCCTCCAGCTCCAGTCCTCTTGAAAGGATGGACTGCAACAAGCTTTGACCTTCGGGAAGCTTGAGCCAGCCCAGCCAGTCTGTGCTATGCAGAGAAGGCTACAGCTCCCAGGAGACCTTTGCTAACACGGTCTTAGGTGACTGAATCATTTCCTAAAACCTGAGCTGACAATATTTATTTTTGTGGGGGCTGATAAAAAGCAGTGATTTAATTTTCTTCATTTTAATTCCCCTCTGCTGACCTAGAGGGGAAGGTGACTGAACCCACTTACAGACCCACCTCACCCTCCTGAGTACTTTGCCATGCTTGGGCCAACTGCAAGAATTCAAACACACAAAGAAAAGCTGCCTACCCTGAGATGCTGCTCTGGGGTTCAGGGCACTGGAGCCTGATGGAATCCCAAAGCTTAAAGCCCTGGCAGCTGCCTGGTTGAGCTGGATTTGCAAAGTGTTTTGCTTGTTCATCCCACCACAAAAGGAAAGGCACTGGCATTTCTCTTCTACGAGTTCTGGTTACGTAAGTTTATCTGGGCTGGCTTTCTAAGAACCTGTGATTTCTGGGGCAAGAGGAACCTGACACAGGCTTTTGTAAGGACTTCAGTGTTTCCAACCATCAGTGCTCACCTCCAAAAGCTCTCCTTGCCTTTGCAGGTCAAATGGAACATTTGGTCTTGCTTTCTGAAGCCACTTTCAGATTTCTAATACGAGCCCAGCTCAAAGCTCCAAGGCAGGTGAAAAAATAGACTTTATAGCCTGGATTGTGGCTCCCCTGGCTCCTATTCTTGCAAAGCTGGCCACGTCACCGTGTGTCTCAGCAGAGTTCAGAGTGTGCCACTGATAATGTTCTGCCAAGCATTCAAATCAGCTCTCAAGAACTGAAGTTCAGACCCTGAGGGGAGGGCATAAAGCTGAGAAGGGCAGTTATGGGTTTGCTGTTCTGAATCAAATTGACAAAAAGAGCTTTTTAGGTCAAATCAGACCCTATAATATTCTAACATAGGGTGAAAATAGTGCAGCAGTTTATGAGTAGAAATGTTACCCTCAAACGATCTTGCACTCTGTTAATAACAGATACATCCCTGTCTGCCATTTTTGGCCACATTTCTGCAAAGGCCATTAGTACAGTAAATGATGGATGAGCTGTAGTTTTAAAATTATACCTATTTGAGCTCCTATTTTGCCCATGAGAGGAACATCCTGGAGTTGAAATGTTAGATTCAGTCCCAGAGTCACTGTTGAGCTTCCATTTCTGCAGACTCTGCATGTCTCATGGGTAGGTGATTACAGTTTGCTCTGCATCATTTCCCAAGTGTGAAAAGGAGATGATTGCCATTAGAGCAAGGTGAATCTCTCTTTTTGGCAGTCAGTTCATGTGATGAAAGTAATATCGAAATGACAAAAATTCTTTGAAGTGGAGCTGACTTGTGACTTTACCTCTTTCTTGAGGAAGATCCATTGTGATGTTTGATTTCTGATTCAAACCTCCTTCCTCGCCAGTTTTTAGCTGGCCAGGGCTGGCCATCTCACCTGTTGTGACCTGACAGCTCACATTAGCCATACCTTTTGACTGTGAGCCCTCACAAAATGGCTAATCAGCTTAGCCTGGATCTTTCAAATCATCTTGTTGGGCAAAGCTTTCACCAGTATTTATAATAATGAAGCCATACGTGGTGAAATCCTAGGTTAGCCTTATTGAAGTAATTTTTCAAGAAACGCTGTGTGAGTTGACAGGCTCAGGCTTTCATGGTCATTCCTTGCAGTCTGAAGGAATAAACTTCTCCTGCCCGTGGAAGTGATTATGAAGATACCATGCGTGATCTTTTAGGAGCTGGGTTGAACTGTGGGAGGTAGAAAGGTGAAGGGTGGTCAGTCTCATTACATAAGAAAATACTGCATATCCTTCCCAAAGTGGCAGAACGGCCTCTTCAGTAGAGTTTAATGTCTTACCCATCATCAGGTGGAGCTTTAACAGCTGCTCGTTAATGCATTTCAGGTTCACCAAGATGAAGACAGCGACCAACATTTACATCTTTAACCTCGCTCTGGCTGACACCCTGTGCCTGATGACCTTACCCTTCCAGGGTACAGACACGTTCCTGGGCTTCTGGCCCTTCGGCAACGTCCTCTGCAAGATCGCCATCTCCATAGACTACTACAACATGTTCACCAGCACCTTCACGCTGACGATGATGAGCGTGGACCGCTACATCGCCATCTGCCACCCCATCAAAGCCCTGGACATCCGCACTCCCCACAAGGCCAAGGTGGTGAATGTCTGCATCTGGGCACTGGCTTCTGTCTTCGGTATCCCGGCGATGGTGATGGGATCCGCCGAGAACGAGAACAACGGTCAGTAAAACTGCACCTCGTGGGTGGGAGGGGGTGGTGGCCAGGAGAACCCATGGGCTCAGAGTGCCATTTTCATCAGCAACAGAGACCTCTGCTGTAAAATTGTCTTAACTCTTTCCTTTCTGCCCTTGCTTCCCTGTATCACTGCTGCTGCCTTCCCAGTATTAGACATAGAATCACAGAATCATTAAGGTTGGGAGAGACTTCAAAGAACATCAACTCCAACCACTTCTCTAACTAGTCTAAACTAATCTCAGTGTGCAGATGCCTTTTTGCTTGCTCTGTGTTTGCTGATCTTCCTTTCCAATTTATTTTTTCACTTGCAGAAATTGACTGTCTAATTAAACTCCCTTCGCCAGTGGACTACTGGGATCCGGTGTTCGGCATCTGCGTCTTTCTCTTCTCCTTTATGATCCCCGTGCTGATCATCACCATTTGCTACAGTCTCATGATCAGGCGGCTCAAGAACGTCCGTGTCCTCTCGGGCTCCAAGGAGAAGGACCGAAACCTGAGGCGCATCACCCGGATGGTCCTGGTGGTGGTGGCAGTCTTCATTGTTTGCTGGACTCCCATCCAGATTTTTGTGCTGGTCCAGTGCTTGGGTGCCAAGGCGGAAAGCGAGCTCGAGCTGGCCATCTCCTGCTTCTGCACCGCGCTGGGGTACGCCAACAGCAGCCTGAACCCCGTGCTCTACGCCTTCTTGGATGAGAACTTCAAGGCGTGCTTCAAGAAGTTCTGCTTCCCCACCGCCTTCAGGACCGAGCTCCAGATGTCCAACAGGATGTGCAGCATCGCCAAGGATGTGGCCTATGCCTGCAAGAACTCGGAGGGGACTAACAATCCGGCCTGACTAGGCATGGAAATTCCCATGGTGGCTGTCGCCCAGCAGAGTCCAACCACCCCCACGTCAGAACTAACTCAGATAACAGCTCTTTAGCAGGACCTCAAAGCTGAGAGGCGAGAAACAATTTTGGGGGTTGGGAAAACTGGCTACTGCAGGAGCATGCAGAAGAAGTGAGCCCATTCGATGCATTTTTAATTCTAGTGCATCCTGCACTAAGGAACATGTGCAAAATCAGCCCCTTGATTCCTGCAAAACCCTGGGGGTTTGCAACATTACTGCGAGTTCAGGAATTAAGGATTTAAAACAGGCATCGCTCCTGGGGCTTACACTTTTGCTGCTGGGAGACAGACAGAATGTGAACTCTTCCCCTGCTTTTTGCCTCCCCGAGTTGAGATGTTAACAGCTCGTGTGGCTCAGCGGGCACTCGCGTGCGGGTTTTATTCCTGTGCCGTCGCTCTGAAATTAGACTTTGCTGCAGCCAAAGTGGGCAGGAGCCATCAGACAAAACCCGAGATCATCTCCAGGATGAGTCATCGTGCAGGGAAGGATGCGGGGAGGGAGAGGAGGGAGCTGGCGGAAAGGGAAATTCAAACTGCCTTGGAGGACAACGCCAGCTCCTGCAGATGGGGTCTGCAGTAAAACCCTCCTCTTGGAGAGGAGCAGGGGGACGAGGAGGACTGTAAAAACTGATGATCGTAGCTCCAAGAGGAGGAAATGATCACAATTCCTCGTTTACATGCTGCTACTGATGGTTTTTTAAAAGAAAAACTCTGTGTTTCCAGTGTGACAGTGGACAGAATGTGTCTGTAAATACATATCTGTAGTGCTCTAGGTACAGATAAAAGGCAGGATTTCACCTTGCCAAGCATGCCTTGGGGATCTTCCTCAGTGAGAGGGGGAAGGAATGAAGTGGCCTATATATAAATGTGTTTATGTATAGGGGAAAGCCATTTTGGAGAAGTCAGAATGGCAGCTCCTCCAGAAGACACGGACATTCCTGGTAGGAGGGGGCAGCCTAAAACAGTCCCATCTGCTCTGCGTGGGATAAGCGGGGCACAAACCATACAAAAGGTGGGGGCTTGGAGTTTGTTTGTTTGTTGTTTGTTTTGTTGGTTTTTTTTTTATTTTAACTGAGATAAGATCCACCATGCTGAGAGCACCACCCCTCCTGCCAACTGTGGATTGATTTTTTTTTTTCTTTTTTTTTCCTCTCCCAGTGGGTCAGAGCTTTGTGGAGAATGAAATGTCGTGTCATTTCATTCAATAATGAAAGCTTCCCCAAAGAATTTCACCACTGAGTGCTCTCTGTGCTGGAGGGGACAGCAGACTGGTATTCTTCCTGTAGCACAACAGCCCTGGGAAATCCAGGCAGTGGTGGCCAGTGGTGCTGATGGGGAAGCAAAGCAAAGACCCCCATGTGGAGATGGGAGGTCAACTTCAACCCGAGAACCGGCAGCGTCGTCCGGACTGTACAGATTTCATGTGAATATATTTCTTGTGCTCTGGTCTAGGAGATTCTGTATTTTTAATGTATTGATTTGCCAATATTTTAATGCTGTCATGTTCTTTATATACGCTGTATAAAAGAATCGAATGTTATATTTCTGTGTAGGGTGTTTCCCTTATGGTTGGGCTTAAAATATAGATGAAATTCCAGTGTCCCACGTATAGGACCCAGATCCCTTGTAAACTGCTCAAGCTGAGAGGATTTTGATGCTGTGATTAGCATTTGATTGGGAGTCTGGAGGGATACCAGAGCAAACTTTGCAATTATCACTTCCCCTGACTAATCTGGAGGGAGGAGGAAATCTGGGCACTTTAAGCACTTTGCGAGGGATGTTTATCCCCAAGCACTCACCAGGAAATCCCACACAGCCCCCAGGCATGGGAAGAACAAGTCCCTGAGAACTATGCTGCTGGCAAGCTGCATCCATGCCCTTGGAAAAGCTGAGTTTGATGGGATATTGTGTTCATGGATGCAGTAACAGCGTTGGGCAGTGAGTGACCTTGGGTTTGCTCAGCCCCTCAGCTGTCAGATTATCTGATGGGGTCTGGGTATGGTTGGGCCTGAAGCTGGGAACTGACTGCTGTTCTTGCTGTTAGGGAGCAGGAGGGCATTCCTTAGTGGCTGGCTAGGGAACAGCCACTCTCCCTTTGTCGTCCTTGGTTGAGTTTTTAAATAGATTTATGTCCTCTGAAAAAAATATACCTGTGTTTGGCGATTTTTTTTTTTTTAATACGGATTTTGTTATAATGATATGCTGCAATGATCTTGCATAATCCAGTACCAATAAATATGTGTTTACTAAGCTTTTGGATATTTCCACGGCCCTTGCAGTGACTGTGTTTAGACATGCTGTTCAATGCTCAGTGGAGTTTGTTATAAGAAGAGCAACAAAAACCTGAAAGCAGAACTTCATTGTACTGTGCCTATGGAGTTACAGGCTCGTGGTCAGCGGGATGGCTGCAGCACTGGCTCTGTAATTCTCTTTGGAAATGGATGTGTTGGTGTGATTTTACAACTGCTGCAATGTAAATGACAATTTCCTAGGTGGCTACTTGTGTGCTTTAATAAAGGAAAATAAAACCTCCTGTGCACTGAATGATGATCTGAAAGATTTCACTGTGTGGGTCAGGGATGTTTCAGCCTGATCCCTTTTTAGTGGGATCAGTGGGGACTTTTGTTTCACGGGCAAATTTGTGTGTAGTTAACACAGGAACAGAGGATGTGGAAATGCTGGAAAACTGGTGGTTGGAGATGAGTGTGAGCTGCCTGGACCCTGCCAGCCTCCACAGACTCCCTGAGTTTTGGAACAGGCAGCTCTTCCCACATGCTCTCCCCACACTTCCAAGGAGTTCTGGGGTTAGGCATGATCAGGGAGAACAATAAATTACAGAGCTGCTCTGAAAATAAAGCCAAGGCCCCCTTCTCTAAGAAAGATGGATCAGCCAGTGAGAGGGGTGATCAGGGAAGCGCTTTCTACATGGAGATCAATATTCCTACACAAGCAGGTAAATATCAGGAGAGGGGATTTTATTAACAGGGGTGATTTTCTTCTTAAAAAAAAAATTGGTGAGAAAGAAAATGGAAATCTTTATTTCTGTTCTAGTTCAGTTAATTATAAGTATCCAGGGGTGAGTTCTCATAGCAAAGCCATAAACCAAAGTGCTTTATTCAGTATTATGGGATTTATTAATGTACTAAGTGTTCTCTCTGCTGCTGCTGGCTGAAGTTAAGTGCTGGAAAAGGCTGAGGAATGGATGAGCCAGTGACTGCGCTCTCTCCTGAGGAACCACTTGGTTTGCAGCGAATCTGGGCAGAAATGCCACATTCCTCTGCTTCTTCCTCAGCCAACAACTTCCATCCCTGTGAATTGCAGTTTCTAGCAGTAGAAATAAGGAGCAGAATTTACACTTCCACTGAAGTTTGGATGGGCAGTGCCCTCAGGCTCATGGTGGGATTCTTGAAGTTACCCTGTGCAGGGTCAGGAGTTGGACTCGGTGATCCTTGTGGGTCCCTTCCAACTCTGGATATTCCATGATTTATGGTTTTATGCCACGGGAAAAACTTAACCAGGGGGGTGTTGAGTTACCCTTTACTGAGCTGCAGGTCAGACAGGGGTTAGTTGGTTTGGGTGAGTTTTCAGTTGAAATGCCCCTCCTCGTGCCCACTGCCCACTGGAACCACGAAGCCTTTGCCCTGCACCAAATGCCTCTGCCCTCCAAAAAGCCTGGCCCTCAGGCCTGAAGACAACTTTTGCAGGTGGGAGAAACCCCGACTGCAGAAAGACCAAAGCTGTGTTGGCCCCTTGTGATAACAACTCCACAGCTCAGGACTTGCCCTGACGAAGATGCTCCCTGATGCTGAGCAGTTGCCATGTCTGTTTTTCCGAGGTGTTTTCATGAGGAGCTGGACTGTAAATGTCTCTTCTTTTTTTCCCTTTTTTTTTTTTCCTTCTCCCAGAGGAAGATTTGTTAACTCTTTAAAGAGCTGTCACTGGGCTCTGATCTCTCTCTGGGTACTTTGGGATTTCAATTCTGGATAGGACAGTGTGTGCCTCTCACCTTGCAATGCTTTATAGGGCAAGTGGCTGCTCTCTATAGTTAGAGCCTCTATTTTAAATGAAAAGGATCTCCAGCAGCAGCTGGTGTGGGTGCAGCCTTTGCTGTGTGCTCAGAAGAGAATCTCAGACTGGCAGCAAAGCAGGCCCTGCCAAAAAAACTCCAGTTTGCTTTCCCACTCATTTCCCTGTGCTTCCCCTCAGCTATTTTTGTGGATATTTATGCATAAGCAAATTTCTCCTTCCCTCAACAGGAGAATCTCCCTCGGACACCTCCCGAGTCTCAGCCCTGATTGTGCATTCACGGCTTCACGCCGTGTTTCCGTGGGAATCTCTGTGGCAGCGGAGCTTCTTTGCTGTGACTTTGCAGAATCTGGTGGCAAATCATGTCCCTGATCCTCACCTCCCAAGCACTCACCAGGGCTGACCAGACCTTACTTCCCCACCTTCTTCTATGCTGAGATGGGAGGGTTGGAGGGTAGAATCCTGCAGCAGTGGCTGTAGGAGGGAAAGCTGTCCCAGCTCAGTGGGGGGAATGGCCTGTGACGTGGGGAGGGTGGAACCTGATCTAGTGGAAGGTGTCCATGCCCATGGCAGGGAGCTGGAATGAAATGGTTTTTAAGGTTCCTTCTCACTGAAACCATTCCATGATTCTGGATTCTATGAAGTGGCAGCATCAGCCCCATAACCCAAGAGCTGTGGTGTCGCATGAGGAGCAGAGATAGACCATAAGAAAGTAGAGCATGTGCTCTGTGATGCTAATGGGTGTTTGGTACAAGGTTTTTATTTGGATTGGGATGTGATGTTAAAGGGTCTGCAGCCCCTCCTTGCCATGTCTGAGCTGATGCACACCTATTTTGAGTGGCCCATGCTGGCTCCATGCACTTGCCCTCTTGCCCATTCAGATAGGGGATCCATGTCACCTTTGCTCAAAACACATGCTAACAGATGTACTAAGGTCATAGCTCATTTTGAAAGGAGTTTTAGGATTTTTCTAAGCAAAGGGACTTCTACTGGAGTGGGTGCCACGTCTCACAAACTCCACTTGTTTCTGTTTTCAGTACCCTGGAGCCTGGATAGATTGCATCACAGAATGAAATAATCAATAAATAGAGCAACATGTTTCGTATCTTGGCAACGATGATGCTAATCAACCATGTAAACTGACTTTGCTCTCTCTGCCTTAATGCAGAGAAATCCTGCCTGTCTGCAGTGAAGGATTGATGCCTGCAGTGCTGGAGCACACGGGCAGATCCTTCCCCCACCTGATGTCTTCCCTCCTCCAAATCAAGGTTTCTGCTTCAGAAGCCCCAAAACTCCCTAAATACCCCCTGGGGTAGAAAGTGCACAGTAATATCCAAAATGAGCTGGGATCACCTTCAGCCCTCCAGACAATATCTCTCATGTTTGGATTCATAGAATCACCCAGTCCTAGAATGGTTTGGGTTGGGAGGGACCTCAAAGATCACCTAGTTCTGACCTCTCCATGTGCAGGATTCTTGGGAATTTGGTCTTCCTGTGATTAAACTGCTGGAAGGGCCTCTGGGAGGAAACATCAGCTCCCCATGTCATGTGGCATCACTTGGGATCTCCCTGAGTAATGAACAGGCTGGATCATTTGCGGATTACATGTCGTATACGTGTCCTTGCTGCTTCCTCCTGCTTTGCTCTCAAATCCTAGTTCCTGTTGCAGTGTATGGTTGCCAGGTGGGAAATCCCACCTGCAGAGCCCATGCAGGCAGCTGTTAGTGGGAGGTCTCATATCCTGTGCAGTCAGCCCACTCCTGCAGCAAGAGGTGTTTTTAATCCAGACTGTGTTATTGCTGGGAGATGATGGAGCTCTGGTGCTGATGGAGTCTCCTGCCTCCCTGCAGCGGTCAGGGAGAGCATCACTGCTTCCCTCCCCTTTGGGCATGAAGCCAGGCAGGATGGGCTGGAGCCTGGAGCCTTGCAGAACCAGCCCTGCCAAAGAGAGGATTTTCAGCATATCGAGATGAAGGATGAATCCGACAGAAACCAAGCAGAAAACTTGATTTTTTCCAAGGAAACCATTGACAAAATCAGCATCTTCCTGCAGGCTGGTTTTGGCTGCA